GGTGAGGGAATAGTAAAGAGTAAAGAGGTTCTAACATACAGGGGTGGGGAAAATAGGTTTATGATTGTGAGTACACTGTTCCATTGAGTTCATAAAGCTACTGTGATAATCATAACCTGCATGTCTTTTTCCATATGAAAAACTGTAGACCTACTTTTGCCCACCCTTAGTAACAGAAGAAGATTTGACTTTGGGTGGTGGGCACACAATGCAATATACAGATGATATATCATAGAATTGTACATTTGAGACCTATATATCTTTTTTAAAAAAACCTTTATTTGTTTCTTTTTAGAGAAAGGAGAGGGAGAGAGAGAGAGAGAGAGAGAGAGGAAGAGAACCATCATATGTGAGAGAAACATTGACCACTTACCTCTTACACTGCCCGAACCGGGGATCAGGCCCACAATCCAGGCCTTGGCTGGAATCAAACCAGTGACCATTTGCTTTACAGGATGATACCCAACCAACTGAGCCATGGGGCCAGGGTGAAATCTGTGTAATTTTATTAACCAAATGTCACCCCAATAAATTTAATTTTTAAATAAAATAAAAATAATAAAATAGCAAAGGTTAAAGATAGAGAATCCTAAAAGCAGAAAGAGAAAAACAGTGATTTTCTCACAAGGGAGCTCCCATAGACTGTCGGCTGATTTCTCAACAGAAACTTTGCAGGTCAGAAGGGATTGGCACAAACTTTAAAATGATAAAAAGCAAGGACTTACAACCAAGATTATCTACCTAGCAAAGCTTCATTTACAATCAAAGGACAGCTAAGTGCCTCCCAGACAAGAAAAAGCTAAAGGAGTTCATCACTACCAAACCAGTATTATGAGAAATGTTAAAAGATCTTTTAAGAAAAAGAAGAAAAATATAAAAATACAAACAATAAAATGGCAAAAAATTCATATCTATCAACAATTACTTTAAATGCAAATGGCATAAATGCTTCAATAAAAAGACACAGGTGTCTGAATGGATAAGGAAATAAGATCCTTACACATGAAGTCTTATTAGAAACTTCAGCCCCGGCTGGTGTAGCTCAGTGGATTGAGCATGGGCTTGCGAACCAAAGGGTCACTGGTTCAATTCCCAGTCAAGGCACATGCCTGCTGCAGGCCAGGTCCCTAATTGGGGGCACATGAGGGGAAACCACACATTGATGTTTCTGTCCTTCTCTTTCTGCTTCCCTTCCCCTCTCTAAAAAAATAAATAAAATCTTTTAAAAAAGAAACTTCAGATAAAGACACATACAAACCAAAAGTAAAGGGATAGAAAAAGATATTTCATGAAAATGGAAACAAACAAAAATGCTGGGGTAGCATTACTTATTATCAGATAAAATATACTTTAAAACAAAGGCTATAGCAAGAGACAAAGAAAGACCCAGCAATTCCACGATTGGTTATTTATCTGAAGAAACCTGAAACACTAAATCAAAAAGATATATACATCCATATGCTCACTGCAGCATTAATTACAATAACAGTGTTATTTACAATAGCCATGATATGGAAGCAACCTAAGTGTCCATCAGAAGATGAACATATGAGAAGTGGTACATAAATACAATGGAACATGACTCAGCCATAAAAAAAAAAGACTGAAATTTTGCCATCTGTAACAACATGGATGGACCTAGAGGGTATTGTACTTAGAAAAATAAGTCAGAGAGAGAAAGACAAATGCAGTATGATTACGTATATGTGGAATCTAAAAAACAAAATAAACAGCAGAGGACAAACAGACTTATAGGTAAGCATACCATTTTGACAGTTTTCAAGATGGGAGAGAGTCGGGGGAAAGAGGAAAGGAGTAACAAGTACAAATTGGTAGTTACAGAATAGTCATGGGGATGTAAAGTATAGCATAAGGAATATAGTCAATAATATTGTAATAACTACGTATGGTATCAGATTGACTCTAGTTTTATTGGGATCATCACTAGTAAGCTACATAAATGTCTAATCATTGGCTGTACACTTGCAACTAATGTAGTACTGTATATCAACTGTAACTGAAAAAATTTCTTTTAAAAAAGTACTCTTATATTAACCAGTCTAAAGTTCTTATAGTTGTATAGACATATATTTATTGGTTAGATAACAGAGTCTTGAATCAGTTACTTAATGAATATCAAATCTTGATAATATAAAATACTAAAATTATAGACAGAAATGTCATTGTATTTCGCATTTGTCCTATATTCTTCCTCTTATTTTTTAGGACATCTAATCAAGTTATTTAGCAGGTTGCTCAATGCTAGACTCAAGGCACTATTGACTATGCTCAAACTGTACTAGTTCTCTGACCAACACTAGGCTTTCTTGGATTGGGTGTGTGACTCCTGGAGAGCCAATGACATATTTTTTGAGGTGTGAAAATTCTTCATAATAATTAAAGATTTTATATTTTCAATTTGATAATCTAAAAAAATAGAGATTAGTGATAGTCTGAATGGTCTGATAACCACTTTATAATCAGTTCCCACATTTTCACTATGGTTACAATTTCATTAAATGTCAAGACATATGACTTTAATTGTCTCAGGAATAAACAATACAGATATATACTTGATGTGAGAATGGCACTTCTCTGATAAAATAAAAACTAATTGACATTGTTCAAAAACTGACAAGGTAAGACCAAAAATGCAATAAAGAACATTGAGAAAAGTAATAAAAACAGTCAAAAGAATGATAATTAATAAAGAAATCAAATAAAAAGAACAGAGACTTTCAATTAGATATAGAAAGCTGGAAAGAGCATGGCCCCTGCCTTAACAATCATTAAAAAAAGCTGAATAAACTATGAAATCAATTTTTTTAACCAATAAGAGAGTCAAGGTTATGCAGTAGCAGAAAAACAAAAACAAAACAAAAAAACCCTGAAATATAAGGAGAGATAAAAACAGGAGCACAGGCTTACCTGGGGCAGAGCTCAGAAAAAAGACAAGTCCAAACAAGTAAGGAAGAATATGTTCACATTTTTAATGAATTGCTAAAAGCCAAGGGGAGTTTGCACCCTCATAGGCTATTCTCCACCAGGAACTCACAAGACTGGACAAAGGGCAAGACATCAGAGAAAGCTTCATCATGGTAAAAGCCTGGAGAAGGGGAGATGCTGAAACTAGAAAAGGCACACAGAACACCGCTCAAGACCATTCTCTTAAGGAACAAAAGCCTTAAACTTCTGGAGGAAGGATGAAAAGTCCTATTGCTCAAGGGGATAGATGAAGACCCACAGAGGCTGAGAAAAGGTAAAAGAAACATCCTTCTATCCCTTGGGGAGAGGCAGAAAATCACTATGGATCAAGACCATTCATGGTGCTCTATTGTTGGGAAAGAGAAAGGATCATGAAAGAAAAAGACACAGGGCAGAGCTGGGCTGCCTTGACAGGAAGGGCAGGGACACTAAGAAAGCACCATGTCCAAGACTCAGTGACACAGGGCTGGACCAGAATCAGAAACTCACTCCCTACCCCAACATAATAAAGGCCATATATGACAAACGCACAGCCAAATTCATACTCAGTGGCAAAAACTAAAAGTATTTCCCCTAAGACCAGGAATAAGACTAGGATGTCTGCTTTCACCAGTGTTAGCCAACATAATACCATAAATTCTAGTTACAGCAGTCAGACAAGAAGAAATAAATGGCATCCAGATTGGAAAAGAGGAAATAAAACTATCATTATTAGCAGATGACATGATACTATACATAGAAAATACCAAAGACTCTACCAAAAAACTACTAACCTGATAAATGAATTTGGTAAAGTAGTGAGGCAGGAGGTAGTCAGGAAGGAAGCTCCCGAGGCCCCGCGGGGCTGAGGTAGAAAACACCTATACATGACAAAGACCCCCTAAGACGGGTTGTTCCTGTTTTCTGGGACAACTCTGAATCATAGAATGCGCCTGCGCGCTACCCCTGATTCATTATAATATCATTATAATGAAATAACATTGTGGGACTCCCTTCTCCAGTAGCCAATCAAGAAAGTCATGGGAAACCACGCATGCGCAGTAGCTTTGAAATCCAACTCCTTGTACCTGCGCAGGAAAAAGCCCGCCAAAGACTAGCAGGGGGCTTCTGCCTCTATAAGAATAGAATCCCCCAGCCCACGTGCCCTTTTTTTCCTCTGCTCAGAGCTGGCTCACTCCCGTGTCCTGTGGTGTGTACTATCACTTAATAAACCTCCCCTCTTTCTTTATGCTATAAACTTTGTGTGTTCGGTTCAATTCTTTGTCCTCGATCACTAAGAACCTGGTTACCTGTGCACACCTGTGCACACCTGTGACAGTAGCAGGATACAAAATTAATATTCAAAAATTGGTGGCATTTTCATACATCAATAGTGAACTATCAGAGAAAGAAATTAAGAAAACAAACCCATTTACTATTGCAGGAAATAAAAAAGGTACCTAGGAATAAATTTAACCAAGGAGGTAAAAGGCCTGTACTTGAAAAAATTATAGGATACTGAAAAAAAGAAAATGAGGAAGACACAAATAAGTAGAAGCACATAATGTGCTTATGGATTGAAAGAATTAGCATCATTAAAATGTCCATACTACCCAAAGCAATCTACAAATTGAATGCATGTCCTATTAAAATACCAATGACATATTTCACAGATCTAGTACAAATATTCCAAAAATTTATGTGGAATTAAAAAAGACCCTAAATAGCCTTAGCAATCTTGAGAAAAAAGAACAAAGTGGAAGTTATCATACTACCCAATGTTATCAAAACAGCCTGGTACTGGCATAAAAACAGGCATACAGATGAATGGAACAGAATGGAGAGCCCAGAAATAAACCTATACCTTTATGGTCAATTAATATTTGACAAAGGGGGCAAGAAAACACAATGGAGTAAATATAGTCTCTTCAATAAATAGTGGTGGGAAAATTGGACAGCTGTGTGTAAACAAGTGAAACTAGACCACCAACTTACAACATACACAAGAATAAATTCAAAATGCATAAGATACTTACATTTTATGTTTTGGAGAAAAAGACTTAAATTTAAGTCACAAAACCATAAAAATCCTAGAAGAAAACATAGGCAGTAAAATCTCAGGCATCTCTCATAGCAATATTTTTGCCAACACATCTCCTTGGCAATGAAAACAAAGTAAAAATAAACTAATGGGAGTATGCCAAACTAAAAACCCTTTGCATGGAAAAAGAAACCATCAACAAAATGAAAAGGCAATCCACTGGAAGGGAAAACATTCACCAATGACACATCTGATAAGGGGTTAATTTCCAAAATATATAAAGATCTTATACAACTCAATAGCATGAAGACAATGTAAAAATGGGCAAAGGATATAAATAGACACTTCTCCAAAGAGGACATTCAAGTGGCCAGTATGCATATAAAAAGATGCTCAATGTCGGACTTCTGGTCAAGATGGAGGCATAGGTAGTCGCACTGTGCCTCCTCGTGCAACCAAAACTAAGGACAACAAAAATTTACAAACAAAAAACAACCAGAACAGAGAGAAATGAACTGAACGGAAGTCTGACTACCATACATCCAGACCAGTAAGGAGGGTCGGAGTCAGAGGCCTATGGAGAGGGGTCAAAGGGTCCCGGTAGGAAAAAGTGGTGGCTGGCAGACGCGGGCACGCAGGGTGCAGACGGCAGTTGGCAGACCCCAGAAGCGCAGGGGCAGCTGATGGACTGGTGGCAGACCCTGGGCATGGGAGGCAACGAGCAGACCCAGTGAGGCATGTCCGTAGCCACACATTCGCAGGCAAACTAAGTGAAAACGGGCAGCAACACAGACCACGCAACCCAGGGACCCAGCACTGGGAAACAAAGCCTAAAGCCACTGACTGAAAACACCTATGGAATTTGAGGCTGGGAGATTCTCTAGGCCTCACAGGGGGCTTCTTGGGGACACCCACAGAGTCCGAGAAAGTACACAAGCCCATCTGCAGGGGAGCCAACACCAGAAGGGCCCAATTTGCTTGTGGGAAGTGGCAGAGGGGACTGAAGTCCTAGGGAGAGTGGAGCAGGGGCCATTGTTCCCTATCTGACCCCGCCCCCACATACAACGTTACGACCCAGCGACTGAGGTGCCCCGCCTGGTGAACACCTAAGGCTCTGCCCCTCATATGTAACAGGCGCGACTAGACCAAAAAGGAAAAAAAATAAAATTAAATTAAAAAGATGGCTCAAACAGAATTACAAGCCCCAGAGCCAGTTTTTTTTAAGCGACCGAGAGATAGCCAATCTATCAGATGCACAGTTCAAAGCACTGGTGATCAGGATGCTCACAGAATTGGTTGACTTTGGTCATAAATTAGGTGAAAAAATGCTCGCTACAATAAGAGAAATGAAGGAAAATGCACAGGGAACCAATAATGATGGAAAGAAAACTGGGTTTCAAATCAATGCAAGGGACCAGAAGGAAGAAAGGAACAACCAAACAGAAAAGAATGAAGAAACAAGAATTCAAAAAATGAGGAGAGGCTTAGGAACCTCCAGGACATCTTGAAATGTTCCAACATCCAAATTATAGGGGTACCAGGAGGGGAAGAGAAAAAACAAGTGGAAAAGTTAGTTGAACAAATAATAAAGGAGAACTTCCCCAATCTGGCAAGGGAAACAGACTTCCAGGAAGTCCAGGAAGCTCAGAGAGTCCCAAAGAGGTTGGACCCAAAAAGGAACACACCAAGACACATCATAATTATACTACCCAAGGTAAAAATGAAGGAGAGAATTCTAGAAGCAGCAAGAGATAAGGGGGCAGTTACCTACAAAGGAGTTCCCATCAGAATGTCAGCTGATTTCTCAAAAGAGAACTTGCAAGGAAGAAGTGGCTGGAAAGAAGTATTCCAAGTCATGAAAGGCAAGGACCTACATCCAAGATTGCTCTATCCAGCAAAGCTTTCATTTAGAATGGAAGGGGAGATAAATTCTCAGATAAGGCCAAGTGAAAGGAGTTCATCATCACCAAGCCCTTATTATATGAAATGTAAAAGGGACTTATTTAAGAAAGAGAAGATAAAAAATATGAAGAGCAAAAAAAAGACATCAAACTCAGTTAGTAACAACCATACCTAAAACAAAAGCAAACTAAGCAAACAAACACAACAGGAACAGAACCACAGAAATGGAGGTTACATGGAGGATTAGCAACAGGGAAGTGGGAGGAGGAGAGAGGGGGGAAAGATATAGAGAATAAGTAGCACAGACAATAGGTAGAAAATAGACAGGGGAGGACAAGAATAGTATGGGAAATGTAGAAGCTAAAGAGCTTATGACACATGGACATGAACTAAAGGGGAGGAATGTGGGTGGGAGGGGGTGGGCAGGGTGGAGGGGAGTGAAGGGGAAAAATGGGACAACTATGATAGCACAATCAATAAAATATATTAAAAAAAGATGCTCAATGTCAATATCAGAGAGATGCAAATTAAAACCACAACGAAATATCACCTCATGCCTATCATCAATAAATTAGCAAACAACAAGTGTTTGTTTGAGGAGGATGTGGAGAAAAGGAAACCTTCAAGCGCTTTTGCTGGGAATGCAGACTGGTGCAACTACTGTGGAAAATAGCATGGAGTTTCCTCAAAAAATTAAAAATAGAACTACTTTTTAATTTATTTACTTTTAAGATTTTATTTACATAATTTTAGAGAAAGGGGAAGGGAGAGAGGAAGAGATGGAGAGAAACACCAATATATGGTTGCCTCTTGCGCGCTCCCCACTGGGGACCTGGCCTGCAACCCAGGCATGTGCCCTGAGTTGGAATCGAACTGGCAATGACCCTTTGGTTCACAGGCCAGCGCTCAATCTACTAAGCCACACAAACCAAGACTACCTTTTTAAAAATATTTTATTAATTTTCAGAGAGAGGGGAAGGAAGGGAAAGAGGGAGAAAAACATCAATGTGTGGTTGCCTCTCACGTACCTCCCCCTCACTAGGAACCTGGCCCGCAACCCAGGCATGTGCCCTGACTGGGAATAGAATGGTGACCCTTTGGTTGGTACTCAAACTATTGAGCCACACCAGCCAGGGCTAAAAATACAACTACTTTTTGACCCAGTAATCCCACTTCTGGGAATATGTCTGAAGAAACCTGAAACACCAATTCAAAAAAATATATATACCTCTATGATCCTTGCAGTGCTACTTATAATAGTCATGATCTGGAAACAACCTAAATGGCCATAAATAGATGAGTGGATAAAAAAGCTGTAGTACACAATGGCATACTACACAGTAGTTAAAAAAAAAAAAAGGAAATCTTACTTTTTTGCAACAGCATGGATGGACCAAAAAAGTATAATGCTAAGTGAAATAATCCAATCAGAGAAAGACAAATACCATATGATCTCACTTACATGCAGAATCTAATGGACAAACTAATTTAACAAACAAAATAGGAACAGAAGCATAAGTACACAGAACAGACTGACAGCTGTCAGAATGGAGGGGTTTTGGAGCTGGATAAAAACAGGTGAAAGGATAAAGCAAAAAATATGTATTATACATAGACATGGACAACAGTACGGTGATAGCTAGAGGGAATGGGGGTGGGAGGAGGTATAAGTGGGAAAAGGGGTGATAAATGGGGACAGAAAGAGACTTGACTTTGGGTGATGAGTGCATGAATGCACAATGCAGATAATGTTTTATTGAGTTGTACACTTGAAACCTGTATGGTTTTATTAATCAATGCCATCCCAATAAATTCAGTTAAAAAAAAAAAAAAAGAAACTCACTCCTGCTCCTACAACCAGGCTGGGAAATACCAAATGACAACCAACAGAGTGTGTACAAATTGGGGAGGTGCAAGAACATGAAGAGACACTCTCTCTGAGGCCCAGGTGCAGACTGAAGGATTAAAGCTGATGGTAGAACAGAAATATTGAAAACTAGCAAACCACTCCCCACCACAAATACCAGGTAATGCTAGAGGAATTTGAAGCCAGTGGTGACCTGAAGGTAATGATAGCAATAACAAACTTGAATCCAACTCAATGTCTGACAAGACTCACTCTACTCTGCCCACTCCCCTGCTCCCAGTTTTACTGGGTCTAGGGTCTAGGAAAACAGACATTCCCATTTCCAGGTGAAAAAAAATTGTTTGCTTCAGTCTGCATTGTTCTATATGTAATGTTCAGCATTCAAGCAAAAATTACTAGACAGACAAAAAAGAAGAAAATCCACTATTAAGAGACAGAGCAATCAATAAAACCAGATTACCTCATCTGTTTAGAGATTCTGAGACTAACAAGGAAAGGTATAAAGTTTGATCATCTGACAAATAGTTTATCTTTTGTTGTTAGCCGCCGACTATATCTAGCATCATAGCTAAAGATACTATAAATCCACTCAAATAACAGTACACTATCTTCATATATATGATGTCATACACTCATTTACTTAACTATTATTAAGTACAAAAACTAAGGTACTAACAATATGGTGGTTACCAGAGGGGACAGAGACGAGTGCAGATGAAGAAGATATAGGGGGTAAAATATATGGTTATAAAAAGAAACTAGACTTTGGGTAGTGAACACACAATGCAATATACAAATGATATATTAGGAACTTACACACCTGAAATTTATATAATGTTATTAACCAATGTTACCCCAATAAATTTTTTAAAAGATTTTATTTATTTATTTTTATAAAGAGGGGAAGGGAAAGAAAAAGAGAAGGAGAGAAACATCAATGTGTGGTTGCCTCTCATGAGCCCTCTCTACTGGGGATGTGGCCCACAACCCAGGCATGTGCCCTGACTGGGAATCAAACTGGCAACCTGTTGGTTTGCAGGCCTGCACTCAATCCACTGAGTTACACCAGCCAGGCAATAAATTTAATTAAAACAACAACAACAACTAAGACATCTTTTTATGAGAGCTAAGATGGCAGTGACATAGGTGGGAGCAGAGTCCACTTCCTCCTGAGCATGGGTGGAACACCTAGTTGTTCTTCTGACGAACTGAGGAACAGAGTGAACAACCAACATATCCCAGCATATGTCAAGGTTGGAAGCCAAAACTGTAGAGGACAT